AATAATTAACCAAGAATAAAATGGAGTAATTAATGATTAATGAAAAGTAGCAATTAATCAAAAATACAAGATACTAATTAATCACGAATAAAACCTAATAATTAACCAACAATAAAGTGTAGAAGTTAACAATTAATAAAAATTAATGGTTAATAAGTTTATTCGGAGAAAATATTTCACAAGAACCAAGTCCAAGTTATTTCCATCTACAGTCAAGTTCAATCAGCCTAGAAACTTACTGCAACCTAACCAGTTCCAAGTCTTGACTACCTGTTTGCGAGCCATCAACACTTGCACAGCCAATAATGTGACCAGAAGTTGCCCTTAAACTACTTCAACAACCGACAGACATTCTCTGATCGGACCGACGAAGTTCACCATCGATTTACCTATTATCAAATTACACGATAATGTATCGTGTGTCATTACCAGTCAGACAGTCACTTCTAGTCTGAGATAGTACCATTCATAACTATGCAAGTCTATAATATCATTCACAACTGTGCAAGCCATACTTTGTCTGCATACTTCCATTTCATTACAAAAGCTACACAGATTTTAATTAAGATGTTAAAATAAGTCAATAATTAAAATGTTATTGACTTTATTCTATATATCCAAATATTTTTATGAGTTGCCATGATATATTATAACATGCAATGACTTGTACAAAATATAAACAACATATAATATAAAATATAAGATATAAAGATTCCTATTATAAACTAAAAATTATTATTGTTGTTATTATTATTAAATATCCATCTTTATTTTATATTCTTTTCTATATTATACTAACATATTATTTCCAAATCATTTTAAACTCACAGCAGAATTTATCCTCGCAAAATGTACCACATATAAAAATTGTCATAATTAATGTTGGAAAAGTCCTTATTGTAAATTAAAAATTGCCATTATCAGGTATCCATCTGCTCTATTTTATATCCTTATGTACGTGAAAAGTCTGAACAGAAATTTCTAAACTTGGAACAGACGACGATTGGATACTAAATACTAAATGAACCATATATATGAAACGAAAATTCGTAAAAAAGTAACCGATTATTGACACATGGATCGATGCCTATAAATACTTTTTTCGTACAGTGACTGCAATTATATCTCGAATCTAAATGAGTAAACCATCGTCCATCGTCCATCAACTTCCCCAGGCTTTCGAGTAATTACAAACGCACGAGTCGGCTCAGGGAATTGGTAATTTACCATTTCCCGTGGACATTTTTGCACTTTCGCCTCGTTGATATCTCCCGTCGACTGACACAATCGAGAAATGGAAAGATTACCGTGCAACGTTAACCACTTTGATGATGATTGACGTCAACATTCACCTTGACGCGTAATGGTACCATACGCGATTATAATGTTGGCTTTCTTTGAATCGGCCTCTCTCTCTCAAGGATCGTTATCGGTGCTGATTACTTAATATTATTTCTTATTTATTGTAGACCAAGGTACGATTAATGGCCCGAGCATCGTGCATAGGGATCGTTGGTCTGGTGCTCTGGATCGAGTTCAACGTTAAAGTTCTTATTACGCAGTAGATAGTTGGCTGGATTAGGAGGTTAATTGATCTCTGCTTCCTTCAAACTGAGCCTCAGATATGCAAATTAGGGTGTACGATGAGTAGGCATACGAGAAAATGGTAACGGGATTTTTATACCAGCAGCGATACCGAGAAGCGAAAATTAATTATATTGTGTTTTTATTACACAATATGTAGAACTATAATAAACAATGCATTGTTTATAATTATTGGAGTAGAAATTTATTTTTTATATTTTTCATCAGGATTTTGTTTATGTATATTGTTATTTATTATTTCTTAAAATATTATTTCAGGTATCGATTGTGAGAGTACACCAATATTAATTAATACTTAAAAATCATTTTTATATTAGAGAGGAATATGCATTCTATAATTTATTTTTCATATTGTATGTGATAGAAACAAACAGAAAAAATTTTATACCAGGAGCAATACCGAGAAGCGAAAATTAATTATATTGTATTTTATTACACAATATATGGAACTATAATAAACAATGCGTTGTTTATAATTAGTGGAGTAGAATTTTATTTTCTATATTTTTTACCAGGATTTTGTTTTTGTACTTTGTTATTTATTATTTCTTAAAATTTTATTTCACACCTTGATTGTAAGAGTGCTTCAATATTAATTAGTATTTAAAAGTTATTTGTATATTAGGGAGGGATATGCATTCTATAATTTATTTTTCATATTGTATGTAATAGAAACAAACAGAAAAATGATTCTATATGTTTCGGTAATGTGATCTACTAAATTGAATTTTTGCTATTGTACAATACTTTATTAAGTTCATTTAATTATTTTATTAAATTTTATACACTATTTTTAGAAATTTTACTAATTTTTTCTATTTAATTTTCTATACTTAAGCAGCATGACTTTGAAAGAATTCAAATTTCGATTATTACACATCATCATTTTTAGCCTCAAATACCTTGCACATCTAATCACACAAATTATAAACGAGTCCCTTATATTTCTTACTATCAATTAAGATGCAATAAAAATCATGAATGAAAGATAAATATCGTAAAGCGAAGGTGATATTTCAAGAAATTTATTATTACGAAACACATCCTTTCTGTGACGTAGTACAAATTGCAACTGAGTTACAAGGTATTCACAAGGAAGGATAATTTAGCAAAACATGCATGAGATTCAAGAAAACACGTAACCATAAACGCGTGTCAAATTAATTCAACCTACGTAACAGCTAGATAAACATTTGAACTTAAATGTTTTTTAATTTATTCATGACTTGCACCCCTAATTGCCCAACAGCTTCACACAGTGATATTCTAGAGATCTCTTCCAACCTCGTCCCCAAAAGAGAGAATTAATTTAATTTCGAACGGAATAAAATAATGCTCAAAAATTTTTGAATAATCCTCATAGGCGTAAGAGTAATCAAATCTCTGGTAAACAATTGTTCGCCGATTGACATCATACTTCAAACAGTGTTCGATCATCGATAGTAGGATGATAATGGATAAACGAAGAGAAGAAGAAGAAGAAGAATAGCTTTCGGGAACCTTCCGTCTCGTGTGAATCACTTGAACATAATTTGCGTCACGTTCCGGGCAATAATACATTTCTGATGTTTGTAGATATCTTAAATTACATCTACAGTATTATTGTGGAATTACAGCGAAATTTACGTCATTGAACACTCAAACACACTCGTTATCTTCGTTAAGGAAAGGTTTTTGATTCTTATTATATAAAGAGTTACCACTCATCAGTGCCTCACAGTCGTTTCGATTTGGAACAAAAGGAAGGATCTGCAGGATCTCAGGGCAATTTAGAAAAATCAAATAAACGTAAGACCACGTTCCTTAAAATAAAGATTTCGACATTTCTTACGCCTTTATATATTTTCACATATTCACATTCTTATCTTGGTTAAAATAATTCTGAAATTTGAAGAGTTCGAGGGTTCTATGATCCAAGAGTTTCACTTGTAATTGTACTATAATGTAAAGATATAAATGAGATATTTAAAGGACACGAGAAATAGTTTAATTACAAATATCATATCAATAATATTCATAAATTTATCATTTGTCAATAATTTTTATAAAACCTCTAAAATCATTTTCTAATTAATTCAATTCCTAATTTGATTATTTAAAAATTCCCAATTTTAATTCCAGTGAAATATCAGTGAATGATTGAATTATTCAGTTTAATTAATAAGCAATCAAAAATGTAAGTGAGATACTAAAAATTTAAGAAACGCATAAAATATTTCAATTTGCCAATTAAATAAACAATTACAATATTGCAAATATTACACCCGTAGTGTTTATAAATTTATCATTTGTCAATAATTTCTATAAATTCTCTAAAATCATTTTACAATTATTTCAATTCCTGATTTATCCCTTTGCACTCAAGAGGCACCTCGCCATTTAATCACATTCTAAAGATCGACGTTAATTAATATATACAATCTAAAATTACTCAACGATACGTGGAATGTCGAGGTAAAACAATTGCACGTCTTAATTTGCATACGATTTCTTATTTACCGTTTTAAAAATATCCTCGACTTTATGGCAGAAAGTCTTCGAATTACTATTTTTCTGTAACGAAAGAATAAATAGAAGAGATAAAAATTGTTTAAAAGTTCCTGATTAATTCCGAATCCTAATTCCTGTGAAGTATCAGCGAGTAATTCTGGCAAGAATGCACAGGTGCGAAGAATTATTATCATCAGCGAGAAACTTCGTTTGATGTCGAGGACTCGTCAAAGGACCCAAAGATGGCCATAGAAATAAGATTCGAGGGTCTTTAGTTATTGCTCAGATATCGGGTGAAAAAGGTGGCCATTTAACGTTGTGCACCTGTCGACGTACCTGAATCAAGCTGACTTTGTGTCTTCACGACGGCCTTGTAAATATCGAGGCGTTGTACAAAGCAGCTCGATAAAAGCAAGCCGCGGTTACTTTTTACTGACGAGATAAAATAAGGGTCGGTCGCTCGAGACAATCGACCCTGATCGCCATTCGATCGGAGAATGAATATTAACGTGACACACACGAACGTACACTTAACACCCCTGTGTTTCACACTGTTACAGATTGACAAGATGCCACTGTCAGAGTTCCGTAAAAAGAAGTTACTCTTCGTTTTCAACACCTTCTTCGGTGAGTAAACAACGTCTTTGTATCTTGTCATCCTTCGTGAGCTCAATCTCACTTCTTCATTGATTGAGTGGCTAACTTCTTGGTTAATAGATGGATTTTTGTAAGAAATTAATTTTTTATAATTTCATAAGTGTTAATTAATTAGGTTTGGTAAGTTTTATTCTGATAATTGTCATTTTGACAGTCATTTTGCTCCATTATTATATTATTGAAATTAGGGATGTTATACTGATTGCATTTGAAACTAATTAATTGGTTATTTAACTGAATTTAGATATTATTAAATAACCGATTAATTATTTTTTTATAATAAGCCATATGAAAAGCAATTTTTCATTTTAATTAGATTTCACTAATTTTTCAGATTAGTAGGTTTTTGAAAGAATTTTACATGCAATTTACGATGTGGAAGTAATTATTTTAAAAATTCTAAAATAAATAATAAAAATAATAGAATGAATATGTAACGAATTACATGTAATTTTGCGAAAATGAATATTTATTAAGGAAAACTTCCAATTTTCAAACTTTTTATAACAAAATTATTTATAGATTTGTCTTTCGATATAAACGTATTATTAATTTTTAATCACATATTTTGAAAAAAAATTTTTAAATATAATAAAATATTCTGAATATTCATGTACATATAAGAAGTTAAAATACTCAAAATGCAATAGAAATGTACACATTCTATTTAGACTTAAAAGAATCCAAAGCAAAAATTGACTCGAAATCTCGAATGAAATTCTACACCCTATACATTCAACTATATCAATATCCATATCATCAAACTTTATATTAAAATTCTCCAATTTATTCTAAACTCTAATCCAAGCTTCACTCCCATTCAAATCCCTCTCGAAATAATCCTCTTTAGTACAAAGAACGAATCGCTACATTCCACGTTTCGATATAGCCAAAGTAAATTTATCAGACAACAGCTTTAATTGAATTTCTCCCCAAGCAATAAAAAACAGGCAATAAAAAGGCAATAAAGACGAAAAAAATCCGTTCGAATTGCTCCAGTCTATATATTCCTCTCTAAACGTTTCACCTACTGATACCCAGTACATTATCGTTAACGTTCCAGTTAATCCGATTTCGTGTCAATCGTCTCTCAGCCTAACGACCGCGTCCACCTATTCCCATGAAAATTTCCAAATAAATTTTCCAAAACGAAACTCATCATAGACGTCACTCCTATCGATCAATGTTCACAGCTGAACTGCACCTCGAGTAGACCAAGATCCTTCTCTCCTCTTGCAGAGATCAGGCGTCGAGTTTTTCCTCTTCGTAGGTTGCCTGGTAACGAAATAACGAAACCGATTGTCGTTCCCTCGACCTTAACGCGTTTCTCCTAACCCATCCTAGAATCCAGTCAGCTAACAATCTTCTTCCATTCGTGGTCCCTTTTCGGGGCTATCGCGGTGAGCAACGCGAGCAGCCCACGCCGCTTGCAGAGAAATGAAATACGGTCCGGAAAGGGCGGGGTGGAGTGGACGACATCCTCTAGAGGGTATTTTTGGGGGCTGAAAACGGAATCAAGGCTGTAGAGGGGCGTTTTGTTCGGTCTCTCTATGGCACCTACGTGTTGGCATGGTCGAGCAAAAGTGAGCCAGGCTGGACACCTATTTATGGTATGAACAGGAGCAGATAAACAATGGACCCTGTTAAGGGGGATGCCGTGTCGCGTTGAAACTACACGTTCATCGTACACGCCTATCTTCGAGGTGAGGGAGCAACGTCTCTATGTGCGCGCGCGTGTGTGTGCGTTCAGGTAATCATTCATACGAGTTATTGCGTGTATTTTCTGGAAAGAGCATCAGCACATGTACATACGCTGACTCTGCTTCTTTTAATGTGGCTCTTTTAGTTTGGGAAGCATACATGTCGTGTGTACTTAGTGTGCAGAGATGAGGAGTTTAATTGGTCAGAGTGTAATAGGTCCAACTCGCCTTAAGATAGGGGTCAGGAATTTTCGGGTTGGCCAAGGCACCGTATCTACAAATCGGATTATATGGCATTAGGTGATAAGGAGAACGAATGGAATAGATCGGTAACGTGGGATAGAGAGCATTGACGTAGACACTGATCTGTGTCTGAGTGCTTTTTAATGTGGCTCTTTCAATTTAAGAAATTGGCTTACCTGACCAGGTCCAAGGCCTAATTAGCTACGGTGTAATTGACCCAACTTCTGTTACACAGTCATAGATATCAGTTACCAATTTCCCTTATTGGTTGAAATGAACAGGATAGATCAGTAATGAAAGATATGAGGCTCATCGAAAGAGTTGGTTAGCCTAAGCAATGCAAGACCAACTAGCATAGAGTAATGGACTCATAGAAATGGATATATAGCTCTGGAATTTTTGATATTGGTCAAAGTGTCATATCTAGAAATGGGATCATATAGTATCACGTGATGAAGGGGACGAAGATCGATAATGAGGGATAAAAGCACTGACGTAGGCGTTGACCATTAACATATAGTGGAACTCCATTTACCTGAGCTCACTGAGGGGAATACCAGTTCATATAACAAGAGTTCAGTGCTTCTTCCTACTACCTCTGACATTTTGTTCGAGCAACGGGAGTCTACGTTCATCCAAGGAAGAATATCAACTGAAGCTTCCTCCCAATAAATACAGATCTATCCCAAGATCCTTCTACCAAGTCAATATACCAACAACCTGAAAGTAAACTCTTCTGGTACACCATCTATACACGATATATAGTATCTCCTTAAACCACCCAGAAGGCAAACCAACCAACTGTACCATTCACAAATTTCTTCACGAACAGTGACTGTTTCTGAGTTTTAGTATCACGGTATGTGTACCAAATAATAGCCGAGTCATCGGAAACCGAATCATCTATCTTAACGAACCTGATATAGAGTTTGTCTTATTTGTGGTTGGGTCATAACGTTCGTGAAAGTATCACTGGCGCGAATAACAGGCCTGCCATGAGTATTACGTGCAATTAATGGACCAAACTTGCGATGAGAGTCGGTACGTGTGGACACGTGCACATCGGGAACTGCGTTAGCACGATGTGCGCCACCATACGAGATGAGGCTGCTCGTGTGGAGCGTGGAGGTCACAGGCGTGTACACGCTTCGTGGCCCTCATTAGCCCCTTACTTTCTTCCCTTCTTTGACCGTCGATCGGCTGCTAAACATATCCTGCAGGGCTGTTCTTCGCCGTCGATACGGTATTTCACCGTGACCCAGAGAAACCGTGAACGGTGCGGTGAGTCGCGAATCTTCGCGTGAAAACCAGTGGTTTGGTACGTGTGGCGCTAGTGTCGCGAGACTCTGGGTCGATTTTGGTGGTACACATTTTGACATCAGCCGTGTTTTCAAAATACTTTTAACCTTGTTTTCGTCATTCCTCTTGCATTGTTTTTATAAGTTATCTGTAATTCGTGGAATCTCTCCTTCGTGAGATAACGAGATGAGAATTTGAAGCTGTTCTTAAGGAATATTTTAAGGAATTTTTGAAGGACGTTATTAGATAAGATTATGATGGCTGCGTTAATTCGATGGAAACGTCTTTCTGAAAACGTTATCAAGTTACTGTGGTTTCATGCAGATATGTACTCAGAAAGAGAGACTTAAGTATAATACAGTATAGACATGGAAGATAAATAAATTTTAAGTAAATAAATATATTTTAAAGCTTTTTCTCTTTAAGAAAAGAAATTTGAATATCAAGGACATGTATTCTCATTTCCAGCTAAAAACCATCTACGATATTCCAATTACCTTATTACACGTTACAGTTCTAACAGACTCGTATACCCGAATAATTCCACGAACACAAAATACCAAGACGATCGTCACTTTGCTCAGAATTATTCCACGCGTGTAACTTTCCCAATACTAGGTCAGAAATATAGTATAGAGAGCATGAGAGACAGACACGTGTCACCTAATCAATTCGAGATCAGATAAAAGACCCCCATGGTCTGACGATGAACAGAATCAGCAGATATCTAGCATACTCGGAATCGTTCTTACCACTGAATTATTTCATCGCGACCTTGGTAAAAATTCACCTACGATTCAGTCGTCAGAATTGTACATTCAAAGTGTAATTGTTCCTCAGCACGACAGATTCAAAAATAGACAAACACGGAATAAAGGACATCGAACGACAGCAGAGGAAAAAGAAACAAGAAAAATAATAAAAAGATCGAGGAGAACCAAAGACGGAAAAAATGTGGGAAGATCAAGAAACAGTGGACGAAACGACACCCAGGACAACGGAAGAGAAAGTACCCATTGAGTTGTCGGAATTAGAATTAATAAACGGAAGGCCGGGGAATCCCTGAGGGATGCAGGATAGGTGGCGACACCTGAAAAGGGAGCAAAGGAGTCGGGCCACGAGCCTCGAAATTGGGTCGACTTTGCGAAAACTAATGACGTCCGATTCAAACGACGACGACGACGACGACCTTGTGCTCCGAACGATGAATGGCACGATCGACTAGAGCCGTTCTTTTCCGTGGCTGAACCGTGAGATCTCGCGCGCGGCTCTCGCTGGATACAGGCCAAAATACCATCCCTCTGGCTACCCGTACCTTACTCGCGCCCATATTTCATTACATCGATTCCTTGTCACGTGTTTTGCCTACGTGATCGAGCCCCAATATGAATGCCAGCCGACTAGAACCGCGGAGGTGTTTTGTTTCGATCATCGACGCGTGCGAGGCGATAAGCTGACGAGGCTAGCGCTACATGGATCGGAGTTATTAATGTTAACGTGGCCAGCCTCGACTTAACGCGGCGATGCCTTTGACACCATCCTGACATAACGTTGGTCCCCACGAGGCTTTATCCACTACGCTTTTTCGCTTGGTCCCGTGCCAAGCTCCACCTACTTCTTTCTCGCCCAGTTGCACCCCTCTGCCTCTTGTCTGCTCAATTTCTCAGATCTGGGGATCGCCATCTCGTATCTCGAGGATCGTAACGCCGACTGTACCAGTCTGACGAGGTTCCAAGCTATATTTCGTAGTTGCAAGCGACAGCTTTGCGCTTTCAGTGATTAAAGATTAATGGAATCGATCGAGTGAGATCAGAGGCTAACAGAGGGTCCACGTGACACCTTGGCGTGTGGACGGTTGTGGACGTAAATTGTGGATAGTTAAGGTGGTCGTTTACTGGCTACTTTTCTTCAGACCTAGCTGGTTTTACTGATTATTAGTTTGAAAGGTTTAAATTACTTGTTGGTACTAATTCCGAAACGAATTTTGGATGATACGTTGAGAAAAAGTTTGTATCATTGATTGTACGTTGTTTAAGAATATAGAATGTGCTAATTTTATGGTACCAATTTAATTTCTGAGTACCAATTTCAAGTAAATTGGTTCCTCTTGCTATAAATTTTAATGAATATTTGATATTGATAAATACCTTAATAAAGAAAATTTTAATTAAAATGTATTTACATATTATATATGTACGTTTCTTATGTTTCTAGATTTCAACCAGAGTGGTGCAATTGATAGGAAAGACCTTGACCTTGCCATACAAGTAAGCTCTGTTTCATTATTTTGTCATTTTTAACAACATCGAGTGAAGAAATAATAATTTGTCGAAAGAATAATTCAAACAATGACAAATAATAAAATTTGTATAACATCTAGAGAAATATTAAGCTTGTAAGCTATCGAGTTACTTATAATGTACTTTATATTTTCAAAAATTATGCTTATAAAATATTTATTTATTTTCTTAGCGAATCAATGAAAACAGAGGCTGGTCTGCTGACAATCCCAAAGCTCAAAGTATAAGGGATACTTTGCTTAAAATGTGGGATAATTTGAGGCAAGGAGCTGATACAGATCAAGATGGCCAGGTAAAAATTTCCTTATCAAGCATGAAATTTTCTACATTTTCAAGTAAATTATGTTTTAAAGGCTCAAGCACACAGTGATACCATTTTCAAAGCAAAAGAAATTTTCTTATTGATAGACTAAGTTTTTGAAATTTTAAAAAGATGAAAAGCCTCAATTACACTTCGTATATTCGATTGAAATGATTAATAATTCGAAGCTGTTTCTATTATACTCAAATAGAAATGTATAAATTATATTTTCTCCTTTCGTTATGTTTCTACAGGTCAGTCGAGAGGAATGGTTTTCACTGTGGGAAGAATACGCGAAAAATCCATCGAACCCATCCGAATGGCAACAAGCATACATGTCTGTGACGTTCCAATTGTTCGATGCATCTGGTAAGTTTATTATGCTTTACGTTTCCCAATTCTATGAACAAAAAAAAAAAAAAAATGGAAAAAAGGAACAAAATTGGAATGCAATTTTTCCAATGCTTTGAAATGATTCATTAAATATTTATGTAAGAATTTAGATGCAAGATCAAACAAAAAGTTTGAAAATAATAAACCATGATCGATACAGAAATATTCAATGCTTGTTTATACTCTGGAATATTCAATTTTAGGAATACGTGCGCTCTTTGTGTCACATTCTCCTTTTGTCATCGATCTACCATCCTTTAGAAATTTTATTCAAAGCGTATAATTTTCGAACGAAATTCCGCTTTTATTAAAGCCGAGATACTCATAGATGAAATAAGAAAATAATTTTTCTGCTTGTATTTTTATAAATCATTTTTCTTATAATAATTTCCTATAAAAATGAAAAGTACATATTTAAATTAATAGAATTTAAACATCCAGTGTTCCAAAAAAAGAAAAAAGAAATTAACAAATTAGATCATCTGTAATAATTTTCCAATTGAATACAACCATTTAAATAATTCATGAACAATTTATCAATACTGCAAGTATAACCTTCTACCCTAAGAATCATAAAACCTAACCTCAAGTTACGTATTAAACATGCAGAAATTTATCAAACAAATTAAATAAATTCTCTCTTAATAAAAACACGGAATCTTTCTTCCTTTACCGCAAAAATGATAATTAATCGAAAGATATACATTTTCTATTGGTCAGGTGACAAATCGATCGATGAGAATGAGTTCTGCAACGTGTGCAGATACCACGGGATCGCAGAGGCTGAGGCCAGAGAGGCGTTCAAAAAACTGGGAGTCGTAAGTGCAAATAAAGTGTCAAATACATAGAGCAATATTACACCCTGGTATCATTGAATCGTTTCTCTTTGTACAGGGACAGGAAATTACCTGGGATAAATTCACCAACCTCTGGAAACAATATTTCTCCTCGGACGAGCCAACCGCAGCAGGAAACTTTATTTTCGGCAAAACTTCCTTCTAACTCGCTTTGTCCCGCGGAAAGCCGACCGACGTGCATACGTATATATATATTACACTTCCCTGCGTCGCAAACTACCGTTCATTCTGCTGATTTCACCCGCGCCCCGGATGCCGGTCAGGCCAAACTCTTTTTGTTCGACAACGAATGATAAAATGCGCATATTTAAATTCTTAACTGACCACTCGCGATCGATTATCGATTTTTGCACAGCGAGATTTCTTTCTTTCTGTCTTACCTATTTCATTTAATTCCTATTGGCGATTCTAAAAATTAATCGTCCAATGCGAGTCGAGCTCAAGAAATCGAGATGCAAGATGTCGCTGCCTTCGCGCAACGACGAACGACTCCCTTCCGCCACAGCGAAACGCCGGCGGTAGTAAACAGTATAACCTCACTGTATGTTTGTATCTGTAGCGTATTTAAATGTAAGTTGAAAGAAAAGAAAAGAAAAAAAAAAGACGAATGTATAATGATCGTGACCTGTGCAAGCCTCCCTGACGTCCAGTGAGCAAGATCGTGCTTTCTTCGAACGATCGATTTTCGTTCGATTCTGACAGACAGAATATTCTCCCTCCATTGTTGAACAAACGGTATTTTCAGAGTTTAAAAAAAACGAATAATCATTCGGGATAAAATATACATACGATACGTGTTGATACTTTCAGCGTTAATATGGAGAAAGAAAGATGAAGGATCGATGTGGAACAGCGTTGAGAAGGTTAGAAATGGGAACCGGATAAAAATGAATGTTTTCGTATAATCATTGGCAGAAATAAACTATAGAGACGGATTAAAGGTAACAAACGTTGGCTTAATTATCGTGTAAGGAATATTGCAGAAATGAAGTGTTATATTTTAAAGGAGTTTCAATATTGCCCTAAATGTGTCTTGTATAGACATTATATATGCTGTTATACTAAGATATAAAAGGTACATACGTATACCTGCAGAAATACATAAATATATATATGTGTATATATATATATATTTGAATGACAGTGTTTTCAATAAATTATAATTGAAGAGGTTTTTAAATTTTAATCGATGTTGACTTGAAGGCGCAGTCGAAGAGTTGAACAGCTGGTACGTACGTATTTCAGTTTCAAAGCATTTGGCCTTCTATTGCCCCGATTCTTGAATAAATTTTTGCACGCATTTCGTCGGTGCACTATTTTCGCTTGATTCATTCCAATTTTTTAAATCAAATTTACATATTTTAACGTTAAATTAATATTACGAAAAGAATATATTAATCGAAAAAGATTTTTAATTATGAATAATCTTTTAGAGGGCACTAGAAGTTTAACGAATTTGAATAAAGCCAAAAATATTAAGATAAAATTCTTCCATTCGTATTTTTACACAGGTTTTAAAAAAGAATTTTATTTTATTTTAAATAACAATTCTTTTACTTTTTTCTTTAATTTAAATTTTTTATTTAAAATTTAATATTTTTATTTTTTCAGTTTAACTTAATGATTCGTTAGAAATTTATTTAGTATCACTAATAAATTACTGCTTTCTATTTAAAAGTAAAATAATTGCTTCTGAAAGATTAAAATTTAATTCTATTAAAATTTTGATTAAAAAATTGTTATCTATAAAGAAAAAGAACAATGAAATCAGAAACAGGAGCCTTTGTCTAAATACGATTGGGAAATATCTATGTTTAGTTATATCCTTCGAATCTTTCAAGGTATTGAACAGCAACGTTGTTTCGCGACTTAATATAGCCTGTCATGTAATTCTGAATGTACAATAAAAGAAAATTGAAAACAGTAACGCGGAAATTGATTTCCTCGATTTTCAATCAACACGAGGCACAATAAACGACCGAGCTGTAACAAACTCTTAAATGTTATTAAACTTTACTGTTGCATACTTTCATTAGTTAGCTTATTCGTTACTGATAAAGTAACTTAACTATTTCTTATAAGCAAAATATAAATTTTACCATAAAATTTGTTATAAGCAAAAATATAACTGGATTGTTTTTTGCATGATAAAATAAATCAAAAAGGGAAGATAAAATATTTCTTGAGAAATAAAAATTATAACAATAAAAGAAGTGAAAAAGAGAAACAACGTAAAAATAAATGTAATTTTACGTTTTATTTAATATTTGTGTACTTGATAAAAATATCGCAATTATCCCACTTAACGGTTATGTTTCTTTATACAGTGACTATCAAAAGTCTTTGTTCAATGTTTGATTTTTGTAGTTTATCATAATCTTGGGAAATAAAAATAATTACATTTTCTAAAGTCTTTAAAAAAAATTTAATCAGTATATATTTTAGATTGAAAAATATTTGTAATTGAGACCATAGTTTGGCCAAAAAATTTCATCATCCGGTATATTAAATTTTTTAGAATTAGGAACATATAATGATACATATAACGATTAATGAGAACCACTGCGACGCTTTATCGAGTGCACGAGTACTTAACTCCCCTCGTTCCTTGAAAACGAAGACCCCAACAATAGTCGAAAGAAACAAAATAAAAATGTTCTGCATCTTTTACCACGAAGAATGGTCTTCGTTTGTTGTGCCATTAATTAAAACATGATCCTGATTATTGCATTACAATAAACACGATTGTCAGAGAAACAATATTCGTTATGAACTATCGCGTTAAAAATACGCTCAGACATTACAGGAAGAGCTGAGATTACTTTATACTTAATTGTAAACTGCACGATATGGGGCAAGAATACAACAGCTGCAATTAGAGGTTAAAAAAAATCCATCAACGAGCAATTTCATATAAGAGACAAATTCAAGAGACATTAAATTTATATAGGCATCGCGCAGAAATTCTCAGATGTCGGTCATGAATTTTACTATAGAAAGCACGACAAGCAGTATTGTAAAATTCGCTTTGGTATTCGCTTTTATCATCCATCACTGCCCGTTAAAGATACGCGCGCTTATGCGCGCGCCGAAGTGGTCCGAATGTGTAAATAGAGGGCACAATCTGTTAGAAGCGGATACACGATGTGTGACGATAAATCTTGACCCGTCATTTATTATAGTGATTGTGGTAATAAAAGAAGAAAATCGATGGAAAAAACGAAGCCCGCCGCGAGTGTTTAAATGTCACGCTGGTCGCGAATTTTATTGAAAATATGATAATTGTGGCCGCTGGTTTGTCACTAACGCATGTGATGTTTGGCATACATAGATATTAATGGTGTTACCGACTGTCTGTGAATCGTGATGATAATGACGCGAATAAAGTAATGTGAAAACCAAATGCATGTTAACTCTATAAATAAAGGTGTTTGTGGACTTCGACTCTGCGATGTGTTATTCTTCTCATATATTGTTATGCTTAGTTTAGATGAAATCTTCATAGTTTATAGTAGTCTAGTTTTCAATGTGTAGATGATTTTACATTCGCTTAATATTAATATGGAAAGTTGAATTATGGTATAAAGTATCAATATTTATAATTTCGGTGACACGTGGGCCATCAGTAGCGGGCGATAAGTGACGAAAATAAATCTTTTATTCGAGGAGTGAAAACATTGGATGCACTAACGTTCAAGTGAGGTAGATGTAAGTCAGTGTGTCAGAACTTCAACTTAAATACTATATTTTCTAATATAAATTTTATATTTGGATTTACTTTCTTTATTTCGATTTAAAGTACTGTTAAAGTATTTATTCTTTTGATATAGTATGTGTTAAGATATAAGTGATTTTATTTTTTATAAACGTTGACATAGAATTTAGAGCGGGAGACTCTATTAAATTTGTAATTAGTTTTATTGCGTGTTATGATATTAAATTTGGTACTGCTTAAATACATATATACTCGTATCTTAAAGCTCAGTAAAAAAAAACAAAAAATCTTTTTATTAATTTTTTGTATAGTTTATCTTTTATCGTATTTTACATAAACAATATGCAGTTACCGTTAAAATAAAAAAAATGCGACATAACAAATTGATTAATCGATATATAGTTCAATTGTAACTTCAACACTTCGCAGGCATAGAAATTGGCAGCACCATCTCACTACACCAGTATCAAGTATTCGGCGTTGTGTTATCTCATTCGGTGGGAAGGTTTGAAAACAAGATATGCAGGAAAATTCGGTAAGTTCTTCTCCGATTGTTTTATATTTGTAATTTTTATAGTGGTAAATAATACTCTATGTATGTTTTAAATGCACTACCTAGTATTTTCACATTATATAATGTTAAATTTCTAACCTCAATACTCGCCGTTTTTGTTCGAAACACTCGTAAGATAGATAATGTTTTAGCTACAAATCGATTTCACTCGTATCTTATCATTAACTACCGTCAGATAAACGATAAATTTTATGTACTACCTTCGCGGTGAGAGCTCAGTATCATTCATACCGCAGGAAGACTCACTATGGTTGACCCAATCACTACATGCAATATTGCATATTACACTGAAGCCTTACAGCCTTACACGATCTTCTATTTACGCAATATTATCTGTCAATGCAAGCTGTAGCTTTAACCAATGTTAGGGTGAATAGTATAGATAAATGTAGTGAGTGAAAAGTGTATTGCATGATTCTAACGTGTTGATTGTTCGTTTGAAGTTACTGCCCCGTAAGGTGATACAAGTCGAAGCATAATGTAAGTATTATAATCAAGGATTTTTCCAGAAGTTTTATCAGTAACTCATTGGTTCCCTTAAGATGTCATTAAGAAATTACATATTTGTAAGTTTGATATAATGTATTTCTATACGTATATATTAAAAGTTTTCAAGTATTTAAGAATTAAAAAGTTATCAAAATTGGATATATAGTATAACTTCTAAATGTAACATATTTTATACGTGCTCGCATGAGAATATATTAACAAATTGATAAAGGAAACTATCTGAGATAAAATATCAAGTGTATCAAACTTTTACTAACAAATATTAGTATTTATAATCAATGCATTTATAGAATCTTTTTGATAGCAATTTTTAATTAAATAACATCATTTACATTTTTATAGTTTTTAAAGCTATATAACTTATACAGTAAATATTTTTATATTTTTTAATAGATATTTGCTACTTAGTTCTTAAATATTAAACGTTTAAAAGAATTTTTAGTTATAAATCTGAGAATTTAAGATACTACTACATTAAATAGAGTAACCTTTTTACAGGTTGGATTACCGTGATGAGTTAGAATTACAAAAAGAAGCAGACGAAGTGGAACAATTTGCCATGACTTCCTTAGGAAAACTAATATTTGTAGATGTACATTGTAGACATCCAAAGTCTTTATCTTCAGATAAACCATCTCTAGATGTTGATTCTTTATCACTTGCTTTTGAAAACCTTTTTTATATGCCATTTGATATTATTGAAAATTACAGTAATACTCTTCATACATTGGATATTAGTCATAATAAATTTAATCGGTATGTATATATTATGTGGAATATTTATACATGTATTATACTAATACATGTATAAATTAATGGCCAGGTTTAAGAAATACATATAAATATAATAAAAAGTTCCTGTAGTAAAATGTTTTGTTTTTCTATTACATTTTTAGAAACTTACAATTTTTAGCTGAATTTGAAAATTTAACATCTTTAAACCTAGACCATAATAACATAGATGACCACACTGTGTTTCCACATATGCCAAAACTTCAACTTCTGTGGTTAAATCATAATAATATAGAAGAATTGTATCCGTTTATTAAGAATCTCTATGAGAGTGTACCGAACCTCAGATATTTGTGCCTAATGGGAAACAAAGCAGCACCAAGCTATTTAAATGGTGGCACCTTTTATGACTATCTTCAATACAGGTATGGCAGTAAAGAGTAATAAAAATGATATTAGAATTTTCAATAATAATATAAATATTTTTGTATGCATTAAATATATGCATATTATAAATATTTTATTTTTATGAATATTTTTGTGGGAAAAAAGGTTATACGTCATATCTTGGTTCCCCCATTTGGTACATTTGGATGATAGAACAGTGACTCCAGAACAACGTCAGGAAGCCAAAAGGCTATTCAAGCGACCACTGTTAGAGAATTTAACTGAGTATGCTCCTCTTCCAGAATGCATTAAACATCTGCACAATAAAATAGCAAATATATTTTCAAAGCCAACACTGCCTTGCAAGTTAAAATCGAGAGGAACAAACTTTGTTATTTAAGACAGTATTACATTATTATTATGGTCTCACTTGGAAGCTATTTACTTTTGTTAAAAATATTTATAAAAAAGTACACTTTTCTATTTTACACGTAAATAAACACACAGAAGCAACCACATGGGGCAGTAACAAAGAAGTGTAAATAATATAACAAATTAACAATTTAACAATATATACAATATTATTGCCTTCATTTTTTTATACTTCAGTTTATTTCAGTACAAATAACTTCATTAACTCTCTTACATACAGTGAAAATATCTATTAATTTTACAACACATATGAACTCAACAAAAATGTATTGTAATTATATGATAATTCTTATTAATTAATAAAACTGAATTACGATTCAGAAGGTATTCAGGTAACTTCGCAATAATTTTTTATAAATATTTTGTATTACATACTTGCATAATGAACTAGTATGTATTTACTCAAAAATATTTTATACTAATAGCAGTAATGGATAAAAATAAAAGATTTTGTTACAAAACTACATATGATTGTTTTTAACTAATAGGTTTTCAACCATCCCAATTTTTTGTATTTTTACAATAAGTTATGAAATATTACCGTTTTACTATTTTTATTTAATTTTTATTTATTTGTATTTTATGTTTTATGTTTATGATAATACGAAATCTTCAATTTGCGCAAGCTTGAAATTTCGATGTTGATTTTTTTTTACATTTGTCATGAACGTAAACAACTCGGTTCTTATCGGAAAATGAAAAGAATATTGTTGCAACGCATTTTTCGCGTATAACTTCCTATCATTTAACTTAGAAAAAGATAAAGTTGCAAAATTGATTGAATATCGTACAAAATACGTTTCTTCTAACAGTTTTGCAATATACTACATTTAACGGTGATAATAAATTTTTATATAGAACTTGAGTTTTTTATTTTGATTCTTCGGAAATAAAATATTTCTAAATGATAAAAGTTCTTCAGTAGATAAAATTTGCTAAATAATCAGTGCTTCACTTTTATGATTAAATTTATATAAAATTAACATAAAAATTATTTTTTCATCGTTTCTCACATTACTTGCATCATGTTACAAAACTTTCATATTTCCATTTAAAAATATATCCACGTGAAAACGTCTGAAATTTCTGATATGTATCTATAGCACATTATATTTTGTCATATAATGCAATGCAATAATTACACGTGAGAATTTCACTGTGTGATTAAATGACCGAAATGAATAACATGATCAGACATATTAATCAATTCGGAAATAATACAAATTTTCGATCACACGTTATCTGTTTTTGTAGAAAATTTTGTCGGTCTAAACGATATATATCTTGATAAGAATTCTGTTCTAGTATTTTGTGATTGTAAACCCTTCGAGTGTGATCGTTTCGAGATTGATTCGATATTCGTTCCTTAATAGGAAACGTTGCTCAGACGGTCGTAAACATGTGTGAGATAAGAAAGTTTATTGAACGTGTTCGGATAAGTCGTAAATTCCATTTTACTCCAGAATATATTGCAAATAAACGGTGACTTGATAAAGCACACAGTAATATCACGTGGCAAATTAAAGCATTGCAACTTTAATAAATTACGAGCAGAATGTCTCCTTTCTTTCATCGTAATCATTTCTATGAGTCAAACATAAACATCAATTTGGAATCCTTTCGTATTTAATATTCACAACGTTGTGATAACGATATTTTATTTATAATCTATGAATTGTTCGTGAAATTTAAATTTGTTTCTCATAAATAAGCTAACGATAAGATAACTGCGAATGTTGCAATGTTGAGTGATTTTATGTAAATGTAAAATCATGCTCTTGTTGCTAAACGTAATAATTTGCGTGACAATTTTTGATTGACGCAATTACTGCCATTTTTTCTTCTGTCGAAGAATGATTTGTAATAATTTGAACTATGTCAAGCCTTTCTTCGGTGTTATTTTCATCTTAAGGTTAATCTCTTATTATCTATCGACGATACCGATATTTGTATGATATCGTAAACTGTTTCAGCGATTACGAATGGGAACCATTGATATTACCCGATACGCCGATTCATTATTTGCGAAGATTGGAAAGTGCCAATCGTGTGGGGATCCCTAGTAGGTAAGGTCGCACCTTTTTCCATCATTAAAATCACCAAGATATCTTTTCTTTGTTTCTTTTTCTTTACTCAAAAATTCATATGTAAGGGAACATAATAATATAGTTACAAAAATTTCAAACAGACAAATAGTTTAAAATTTTAGTTACTATATATGTTAATTTTAGTTCCTATACATAAAGATTAACAAATAGTACTTTTATCACATATATTATAATGTAATACTATTATAATTAATATTTCAATTACATCTATTAATATTAATTTAAAAATTAATATTAATATATTATTATACAAGAGGCGTATTGGATCCTAACTTAACTAGAAGTTCAGTTACATAGGCGTAAATTTGAAAATGAGTAACATTTAGGTTAGAATTAAGATTTACTAGAAATAAAAGAAAACATTGCATTTTATTAATAACGCCTAATAAGGCTACAACTACATCAACATTCGTAACTTTACATTGACTATTAATAATACTTAGTGCGTCGTTGCAATTATGTCTAAAACATTGGTATTTGGTCATAAAATAGCTCTACCGTGGGTACGGCTGATTATTTTATTTCTTAAAGTGAGGGTATAGTACATTCCGATGCTTTTCCAGAACAGGAGCGAAATCTTTCCAGTAGGAAAGATCGAGTGACGGAAGGTTGTCGCAGTTCGTGATAGGATTACTGAAATTAAGGATAATCTTTATTAAGATGGAACAGTTATTGAATCAGAAGACGCGTTATTATGTTTGAGCAGGATACTTACCTTGCAGAAACTTTTTGGAATCCTTTCGGTTGCATTGTCGTAATATGGTCGCCATTATCGCAGAAAAGTCTCGATATACTGGCCTTTCGAATCTCGTTCAATTGTTCTGAAAAATTGCACGATGAAATTTAAAAATTAGGATCTTTACGTATAAATTCTTACAAATGTTTCCCCTATAATACAAACGAAATTTATTTTATTGTATGTGTAGAGATTGTAGTAGTCATATTAATGAAAACAATCAAAGATTTAGTTATGTATTCATAAATTATTAAATTCTTTAATAATTTCTAAATACTGTTAACAAATCATTCAATTATGCAATTTAGATTTTCGTTTAATTGAGGCAATTAAATATTATAGGGGTATCAACGATAATCTGAAATTTATTATAAATAGAATTTGGTAATAAGCAAATTACTTTTTCATAATTTTTTGATTATGTTAGAAGATATTTTAGTAGCCAGGGAACTTCGAATCTTATAAATTTAGTATTATGTAAAATAGGTATAGAAAATTCAAATTGCCAATACACTGCACTCTCAAAACACAGAAATTGAAAATGAGAAGATGAAATGTTTACCTATAGTGAAGGCTAATTCATGGTCACCTCTCTCATACCAATAACGATCGCCTACTCTTGTTCGATAAAATTGCCTGATTAGGATACACAAGAACGTAGGGCCAGAGAGTGTTCCTGGAACATGTATCTCTAATGATCCTCCCACAGTTAGGTCAACGTCTTCAGGAGTAGAGTACAATTGGGACAGTTTTTCCACGTTCTACGAATAAATTAACAGCAATTGTAATTATCTTTTTGCTCTCTTCTAATTATTTAATATTTATTACGTAATTCCTAAATAAACGATGACATAGTGACGTCGATTATCGCGATTTGTCGATTATCATTTCGCTGATTTATGAAAATCGCGCTTAGAATTTATCACGGTTTCGTGATATAATATTTGTAATTCATCGTGGACTTCTGCTTTCTTACACAACAGAAATGCAAAGAAATAGCATGCTCCAGCTGCATGAAGTGCATAGCAAATAAATGTCGCGCATCTTGCTTTCAATTCTACGTGTTTACGCGTTGGAATAATATTTGAGTAATGATGTTTCATAACAGCGAAATATAATTATCGATATAAGAAGAATTTCACCTCTATTGATTGATATTGATTTTTAATTTAATGTAATTTAATTTTGCAAGCACTAAGATCAGCAGAAGTGAAATTCTAGAGTGTCGTGAATAAATTCTGTGTGTACATGTATTATAAAAATAATTATTGACATCCAATTATTTTGGATAGAGGACATTAGAGTTTCTTCAATTTTAACTATAATCTATTTATTATAATAAATATATTATTGTAAATATTATACGAATAAATAATAAATATATATATATATATTATTGTATATATTATTGTAATATATTATTATATATTATTTATAAATTTAGTGTTTATTATAATAAATATATTATTGTAATTTATTACATATTCCTCAATCAACATTTTATTCTTTATCCTATAGTTTATCAATTTTATCTTTATGCAAAAATATTGCAAATAAGCTTTGGTACTCGTTCATCGTTCATGAACTATACTATAATACTTAAAGAATATGGTGGGTCGTTAATACTGATATAGCCTCGTGTAATAGGATTAATTTGCTAAGATGAACTGTACAGTTATCCTCTGTTAAACCCTTGCAATTCGTAAGACTTTGATCATTTTTAGCCAAACTTATTTGCAATTTTGAATCCTCTGCTTCTAAAATATTTACGTACCGAGGGAGAAATGTAATCTGTAAAATCGGCGAAGTACTTCGCCCTAGGCAAGCCGCAATATTCGCGATAGCTGTTGTACGATGCAAGACCGTGATCGCGGTTCCTCTGGATGTCTATGGCGCGAAGATCTGATCCCAAGGGTCTCATGTTCCTGAACAAGAACTCCGTGATCTGGAACACGTGAAAATTTAGGTTTCCTGGTTTCCACCAATAAAGATACTTTTATAATATAGGAATGAAATTACCTCTGGATCGAAGAACTGGTCGCTGTTCTTTTCTGGCTGATAAGACATGCCTCTCGTCAAGTCGTCCATATTGTTGCGCTCCTCGATGACCGCTGGTCTGTTGAAATGGTCGCTGAGCCTCAAGGAAGAGCCCGAAAAACGGTGCTCGTTGACCAAGCTGAAGATTTTATGAAAGAAACAAAATACAATTGTCAAATTCTAATCAAATTATGTTACATTTTTTAAATAAGCATGTGGCACTGCAATAGCTTAATTGACAATGATGGTCTGAGTTACTTTCGAAGATATATTTTGAACAGGAAGAAACATTTTTATTTGAAATGGAAAATCACTGTGATGAAGAAAATTTTGGTTTTTGAAAATGCCAAAATTTGTAAATATTAACAAGAAACTTAAAGATGCAGAGAATGTTTATTTTTAATTATTTCTATAATTAATTATTCAGGAATGTATTTAAAGAATTGTGTTTCTAATTAATCTAATGGAAAGTGAAACAATTTTTTGAAAATGGGAATAGCACGAATATTAATTAATATTAATTAATTTAAATCAATACTTATATAATTGCTCAGTTTATGGAAGGAAATAAAGACAAATAAGTTTTCGTAAGGAATTCTTTGTTAATGAAATTATAATAAAATCGAAATTGGACAGAGCTATTTTAAACATGGAGGATATTTCAATGGAAAGCGACGTTACATAGAGAAATCGAATGCTGTTGAGCTATTTGTCAGTGTATAGGTACATTCTCTCGCTGAAATTGTGCATATCGAACGAGGAATTATGCGGAAGTCAAAAGAAAACGAATAGAGAAAAACTCGAAGCATTGAACTGATAAATTTGAGATGTTTACTCAGTGAAGTGAAACTCGTGACTTCATTGTTATGAATTTCAGGATTTGTTTATCGAAGAAGACAGAGAATATTAATAAATTGAAAACATAGAAAATATTTATCGTTTGAAAATGTGCTTGATTCAGGTGAATTCACAGCAGGTTTCTCCACGAAAAAAATTGAAATACTATTTTCCTAAATTGTTAAATACGGCCCATTAATATCTGTTAAAATTGTTTTATAAGTGAAAGCGTGCATAGGTAATTTAATAAAATTTCCTGTTCTAAAATTGAAAGCAGAAAAACGAAATATCATGTGCTGCCAATGAGAAACTATGTGATTAACACACGAGTCATTGCACAAGTTTAACATCTAAGGAAAACACTATTTAAGATAATTGCAAAATTTATGTACTGCAATTTTACGCAAATCTTTTTCTAATTTTTCTATCACTTTTCATTTTGTATGAGAAGTCACAATATTATTAATAACTTTCCAAAACTAATTATTACCGCATATTGGAATGACACGATCATGCTTACTTGAGGTAACCAGCGATGAGGGAATGGAAGTATCTGAAAGCTGCATTCGAATGTTCGTTCAAAACATGTGGATTCACGTTTGGATCATAGTCATTAACGTAGTCTTTGGTGTCATACAAAATCTTGTTGCCATATGTACCCTGAATACCTAAAAACATGATGCTTAAATCAGTATTATTGTTACCTCCTATAACTTTCATTATGTTATGTGATTACATACTTTTATATATATATTGCTATATTTTTCCTTTTTTTTTTTTTTTTTTTTTTTTTTTTTTGTAAGAGGAAAATAAAATTTAGGGCAGAATAAATGAAACAGATGTTAATAAATGAATTAAAATTTGCATTTGTACTAAAGTAGTCACTACTTTCAGTGAACATGTAAATTACCATTAATATAATATTTTGTAGAATATTATTTTGCTATTTTATTACTTATGCATGTTTAATTTTAATATTGTTAATATTATATTATATATTTATGTTTGATTATAATATAATATTAAAAATTTATTATGTTATTTATATATTGTATAATTAAATCGTAATATAATTTTACCCAGAAATATTGGCAACCATTCGTAATAAGAAATGTGTTGATGTTCCGCAATTAGAATTCGTCGCGCCTCTTGGAAGATTATTTCATCCGCCCAATGAGGATTTATTCGGGCTAAAGCGTCAGCAATACGATTATGTTCCCTAAGTAGTATTATCTGTAAAACAGTCAGCTGTGGATTCTGGTTGACTCGAGTGTCACCTGAAATTGAAATAGGGTCATTTACATGAGCCGTTTATAAGTAATAAACTATGGAAACATATGACACACGTGTGGCCATTATTAATAATCAAGAATGGAATATTTTAACATTACCTGTGTTAAGAAAGAAAAATTGGAAGAGAAGAAAGTAATAATAAAATTAATCATCCAAGAAAATAAAATTTATTTATAGAAGTAAAAATAAAAAATTCAGAAAGATGTTAAGCAGATATTCCGAATTTTCTATAATATTAAAAATAATATTGAATTAATTTCCAAAGCATTTTTAAAATAATTAATACAATTTTAATGTATTTAAAATTTAATATTCGTAATTTAATTAAAATAAAAAGTACACTGTTTTAATATAGTTTTAGATAATTAATAGAAATTATTTATGAAGGGAAGTAATATTTTTCGATTCCTCGTTCGATAAAATTATCTAACGCGATAATAGAAGAATATTTTATGTCAAAAGGAATGAACCTAATTTGGGAAATAATTATTAACATTAATGGTAATCTTTTTCGTCCCATAAAGTTAACATGAAAGGTGTCTTAACTCTGATAATTTCAATGGCACTTAAATGTTAGTAGTCGCTTTCACTGAAATTTTGTTGATAGCTATAAATTACAGTCCAATAAAAACTGGTAACGCAAATTTATTATTTCATATCTTAATTAATGAAAACTAGTATTCAAAGATTATAAACCTCGCGTACATAATGTGCCTTTCTTTTACACATGTCCAATTAGCAGCTATAAATTTCTTTATCTCTGAGAGCTATTTTAAGTCGATGCATTTCTTACGGTATATTACGATTCAAAAGTATCACATCAGTCGACGTTCAACGCGTTGAAACACCATGTTGACTAATGAAACTTCATTTCTATCAATCTTTCTGCTCAGAACCCGTGAAAACTAGCTTTTTTCAGTCGATAAAACAAACGATAACACGAGCCATCAACGCCATTTTAAGTATACTAAGTTATACCGAACGCGTTAATTGATAATTGTAGTTTTCTGTATGTTGTATAATGAACGTTATCACCCATCACACATTTTTGTATTATATTTATCTGTGTATATATTAGAAGAAAATTACCAGTGCAATTATTCGCCAGATTTTTTAATTAGGGTCTATCTCGTCACTTTTAGATGGAAGTAACTTCTTGGTCTCTTCTTAATCAATCTTTCGATTAATTTACGGAAGGTAGGAAATTATCTCGAATAATTTTCTATAGCTGAAAGTTCGATGAACTTCGAAGACCAGTTTTAATTTCATTTTTTCAACTTTCCCCGAATCTCGCTTTCGAATCTTACTTTGTTCGTTAATGTTAAATTTGCTACGTTTTAATGGGATTAGTTTGAAACGTTTTTAAAGTTTACCTTTTTGGTTTATCTTGATTTAAGCATTTGACCAACTCTTGGCACCGAAAGAGTGAGTTTTAACACTAGCACTACCGATCTTTAATGGGTACCTAACTATAACGTGCACAGATTATAGTAATTTCAGCGGTACAATGAATATGAGTGAATATATCGATTACAGTTCTTTCTTAATACGAGTTGATACCAATTTTATTTTTAAAGCAGGTGCATGTGTTCGGTGATTGCAAAAAGGAAAATTCTGGGACCAGTCATTTTCACTGGGTTGGTAGTTCTAGTGTTAATCACTGAATGGTCACAGGATGGACAGAATGGTCCATAATAAATCAATAATCGCAGATCGTAATAATAATCAATAACGAGATATTCAGTTCATAATAATGTAATAATATATGAAAAATCGAAATAAAATATTTCTCTATGTTAACCCTTTGCACTCGGGAGGCGACTCTCAGTCACCATTTAATCAGATTCTAAAGATCATTGTTAATTAATATCTCGAATTTAAAATTGCCCAACGATGCGTGGAATATCGAGGTAAAATAATTCTACGTCTTACGATTAATTTGCATTTCTTATTTACCGTTTTGAAAATATCGTCGACTTTATGGCAGAAAGTCTTTGAATTACTATGTTTCTGTAACGAAAAGATCGTCGAGTGCATAGGGTTAATTCGTGTGTGACATAGTTTTTCGTGTTATTGTAAAAAGGCTAGAAATTTTATTATAGCGTTTTTAGTGTTGCAGTAGTGATACTGATTTTGCCAGGACTTACCTGCTTGATAACAGACTTCTGTAGGGCCCGTGACATCGCAGGTTTGACTCCTGTTGACTGCCGGAGGTGGCCATTGTTTGTTGTGTCTAATATCTACGTTCAATCGGCCACCGACTCCTGCACGCAAGCTAGTTGCCAGTTGATCGCTGGATCCATAGACCAGGGAGAGATCCAAGAAATGTGTTACGACAGTCAGCTGGAAGATTAAATTCCGTGTTTGACCAAGTGGAACGTTTAAGTGGTTTCAAGAAAAGAATTGAAATCGGTCGAACAGGAGCTTAGAATTTTTTAAGCCGGATGTCAGTAGGCATTGCTATAATTGGATAATCTCGGAAAAAGTAACTATAGAGTTGTGAAAGCAGTATAGTTGTAGAGAGTATAGTATATGAAATTTTGAGTGAATATTAGAACTGTTATTATTAGATAATTTTTATAAAAATTTAATTTATAATAGTATCTGTATATGGTTATGTAGAATTTTGTGTGGGTATTTAGACAGAAAGAAATTTTTCGAAATTCTCGAAATTTTAAATATAATACTACAGGTTATAATTATGTGTATTTTTCCATGTATTATGCTTACAGAAAACGTTATAAAAGATTCTTATTTTCTGATTATCTAAACTAGGACATTCTCCTGGATAAAAGACAATTATATTTAACATTTTTAATATACAAATTTATATAAAGTAGTATCATATTATAGATCTAATTGTTATTGTTCGTTCTTCGTTGAGTTTAGCAATTTTTCAATCATATTAAAATTCTGTACCGATTATCTGTACAGATCTGAAAACTATAGAACTAGCATGTTTGAAAATCAAACGATTATTGTAAAAAAAATTCTATAACAACAATAGTACAAATATAATTTGGACTCTATAATTTTACATTCTGCATTTTGCAATTTCAATTTTAATTATTCTTCTGTTTCTTCTTTTCTCTTTTCTAATCAGCCACTGAGCTTACAGTTGTCAAAGAGAAAAGAGATTAGAATCTCTGATAACTTCTAGAATCTTAATACTAGTGTAATCGATGGAATGATCGATATGTCAATATGATGGATATAGATAATTATAATATTTTCGTACTATATTTGCGCGTAATCGTGATCCTCGACATTTTCACGAGCCGTGTGTTCTTCTGCGTCGTTCATGGTACCCGTGGATGAGGTAACAAATGAATGAATAAAACCATTAGGTGCAAGGTGTAACAAACCTGTTCTGCTGGTTTGTACCGTGGCGTACAGCCACGGTCAAGGTCAGTCGTACTACGGACGAAGTTCAGACATCTTATATTGGCCTTGCTGTATGCATGATCGTTGTACGGTATGATTATGGGGTAACATTGATCGTGTAACAAGTCCGTGTCTAGCAATTGCCCGTCGTCGGTGCAGCATTGCGTCGCGTGTGGTTCTGTCACGTGAAAAGTAATTAAAAATGAATATGGGTAATTATACAGCGGCCGCATAGTGGGATCTATGCGACCAATTGATAGTGGGAAAACTTCCCCCTGAAACGTTAGTTCAAAATAAATAGCAGACCAAAATTGTCAAGGTTCGTAGAATTATTTCAACATACCAAAGTTTCAAGGAAAACGACTGTTCTCAATTTTTCGCTTCACTTTTTGAAATACGGAAATTTCCGAGAACCTACTGTACACGTATGCCAAAGTAGAAGCTTTGAGCTTTAAAACGAGCCAAAATTGATCGTCATACGATGATTTTCTACGAAGTTACAGTAAATCGAATATTGACAATTTTTAATAATATAATTTCTTACTTATATTGTTTAATATGTTGTTTAATACGTTGTATAAACACCTGTAAACAATCTCCATTTATAATACTTTTGTTTCAGTCTAGCGAGATCTTATGTTTATATTTTACATTGTATCTTTCTGAATTTCTTCTAGCCCCTTACTGCATGCTACCTTATTATATACAGTGGCTCACGAAAATATTCGGACAAAATATTAAAAAAATGTGTTTATATAAATAAATTAGGGTTATATAGTGTTATTTATGCCAAGTGTCCAAATATGTTTGTGACGTGAAAATAGGGTATCATTTTGTTTATAATTTATTATAATAAATGCATACAAATTTATTACATAAAACATATGTCTCTGTTTACTTGAATAAATGTCTTCTCACTAGAAGAAATAGTGAACACGATCCATTTATTAGTATCTGCGATACGATCTGATTAATTCAGATATACCCTGTGTGTCTGAATATTTTTGTAAGTTACTGTATATGCAATAACAATAGGCCTTGCACTCACTGGTAGATGCATGCTGATTATTTGCATCTTTCTCGCAAGTGTTTCTGATTGTCTCTATTATAAATATCTGATCAGGGTTTAGATTTGTCTAAACACTGCCAATATTAATTATAAATAATCGTGCAATGTTTCTTTTTGAAAAGGACATGTCCCCCTTTCGTGTTGCTTAAAGTGTATGATTGGAGTGTGAATACGATCTATGTGTGTGCTTCCTCCTCTACGTTTACGTATCCTGGGTACCTAGACCATCGTGGTTCGCTTGTGGGGCGCTCATCCCCTCGCAGCCCCCCATTTTCCCTGCCACAGTCCTCCCAGCACCCATCGTAGTAGTGACATTGGCCAGTACTATTGCATTGCCAAAGGGTTACATGCCCCCTGCTCTTTTTTGGCACGTTAGTGTTTTCCCAGAGCTCTGTCCAGCCCTCCCTACCCTGTTGTCACAGGTGCACCCCATCCCAGTGCCATACCACCGAACTGTGACCTCTTGCTTTGTACAAATTGTGGTGTGTAGTGACAGTGTATTTGTGGCTCCTTTTTAATTAATTTAAAATCGAAAGAAAATTAAATAACGCAGTTTAGGGTGTAATGAAAATTAAATAAAGTAATTTAATATTGATTATCTTGAAATTATCTTTTCATCTCGCTTTTGTACTACTTAATTTTTTCCAATATTTATTTTAATTGTGAAAATATTATCAGCTACCAGTGGCAGTTCTAAATATCGACTTAATTCCGTTATCCTGTTTTTAATATAATTTATACTATATATATGGTCTTTGTAATTGGTCCTGATAATATTGGACCCATTAAACAAATTAAAATGAGTGACTTCAGACCTTTTAGGGTGGTTGCTTTAGGCAGAATTAATGTTTACTTTTATTATGATAAAAATTGAATTATTCTGCTATATTTAGATCTGCATTGCAGGTCAATGTTAATAGGTCCAATGTTAATATTCGGTAATATGAAAAAGAATTAAATCAAACATAGAATACTAATAGAATACTGTAGATACTAATAAAAATGGAATACTAATAGATTACTATAGAATACTCTTACAATAAAAAAACAAGGGTAAAAATTTGTACTTACTTGACTGGGTGCTTCCGTCGATCAGACCCATGTCATGGGTAATAATTTGACCCCACTGCATCGCAGCCAGAGTCCACATGCGATCATCGATGTCGACGTTGGGGAATAACACGTAGCTGATCAATCGAGAAAGTGGTAACTCTGATCCAGTTTTGGAAATCGTGGGCAATCGTATACCTGCACAAATCGAATGCCTCGTGATAGATAAAAGAGCAAAGAGGAGTAAACGAAAGTTTCGACTTCCTCGTTATTAAGCGTCCATTCGTTTCGTCTTGTCAGTAAAATCGAGCACGTGCTTCGTTAGACGAAGGTCTCTATGTCGATTCTAAACTGTCAGATCCACTTTCAGGTTCTATATCTAGTTTACTTGGATGTATTTCAAGTATGTCGTTTATTCGCATATTTGCGTGCAATTAACAGATAATTACGTATCTTGACCTAGGAAGTAAATTCCGAACCTTCCTGCTTCTTTCTTTTTGTTAATTAACCAGTGCGTACTTGATCAGCCGAGACACGTGTGACTAATACTATCTGTTTCAAAAAATAAAATAGCAAATCTTATCCTGACTTCAGATTAATATTTGCATTACAATATAATTAAATTTTCCTCTATTATTATATTTATAATATA